AAGAATGAAAAGTGTCAGCTATAAAACGTAATCTTACTCGTTTCTTCTTAAACTGCGCCAGAAAGAAGCCGGGGATCGGGAGCTCGTCGGCCAGGTGCGTGTCGTAGAACTCAGCGCCGGCAAAGTTCATGATCTGAAGAAGGTTTATACGTTCTTTTGCATTATTGGGGGGTCCTTTTTCTTGGGATCCAATCTTTCAAATATAAAAGAGGTTGTTTTGATTCCAAAAATACAAAAAAAAAACGATTTTTCGACCAAAATTTCAACTAGAAATTGCTTGACGTTTTTATTTGCTTGTTTTACGCTTAAAAATATGTCAATATTGCAAAAAAACGCTATTACGTTAGTGGGGGATACTCGACCTATAGAAAATGGTAGTGCCTCCGCATCGATAATTCGACAGAAACGAAAGCGCAAATGCACGTACCTTTGTGGCATCGTTTCGCGGGACCACAGAGCCGCAAAAGCAGCAGGGCACGATTTGAGGATCCATTGAAGATGCCTAGAAGCAGAAGCATATATGATAGCAAGAGATCGAACACGTAAAAGGAAATCCATTTCGAAAATTTCTCCTTACTAATTTAGAAAATAAGATAAATAGCACGCATTATTTTAAGCAAACTTTAGCAATTGTTCGGGCAAGATAATACCAATTACAACCCCAATAATCAATCTTGATACCGTGCTTTTGTTCTTTTTTTAATATAAACCTGAAAGCCTTTTTCTACAGCGCGCCCCATCCCATTACGCCATGGGCAAAATTTTGAACCCCCGGGGTAGGGTCACGGTAGCCGATCCGCGCGCTAGCAGCCCTAAAATGTGGCTCTGGACTGTTAGCGGAGGGGGAGCGAATTTTTCTCAGTAATTCTCTACGGCCCTATCACGAAATGTAGAGAATTTTTTATAGAATTTTACATAGTTTGAGATATAAAAACACTATAAAAATCATACCTATTTTCGAAAATATTTAACTTTTTGGTAAATCTATGAAAAATGTTAAGAATTTTTGAATTTTCAAAATAAAAAGAAATATTTTTCAAAACTTTTAGCGCTCAAAAGACTATAAAACACATTATATTTCACTAACAGGTAGGGATAGATGGAAAAACAAAAAGCCTTTCCCCCCCGCTAACAGAATGGAACCAAAAATGTGGCAAAGGATCCAGGAAGCGCATCTCTACAATATTTTTATGTATTTTTACTAGCTCAATTGCAAGTATCACGAAAACAATCACGATTTATTTACGGAGAGCTCGGGTAGTAGAGAGATGGATTGAGAGAGAGAGAAAGAGAGAGGAGAACGGGCTTCAAATAGCGATACAGCAACCCGACGTTCAAAAGATCATTGCCAACGATAGAGGAACGTGAGAACAATGGGAAACTTGGAAAAGTGGAATTCACAAACCAACAAGTTTAGGGATGGATTGGGAAATGTTATAACAGGGGGATAAGGTGGGCTATTCGTGCTTGGCTCGCTTGGTGGCGACGGGGTCGTCGAGTTCCACCTCCGAGCTCGCCTCCACTTCAGCGCCATCTCCATCGGCATCCGGCTGCGAGGCTTGTTCGCTGTGGCCATTCGCCGCTTCTTTCGGCGGTTCAGGAGATCCTGAAATGAATATTGAAACTTGTAACAAACCTAAGGTTTCAAATCTAGCCGTTTTTAGAGAATATTAGAGTCACAAAGTTATCGAGCATTAGATTTTAAATAACGCCTAAACCTTCACACAGGTACTTTTGCATTATAGGGGGGAGACAACTTTTTAAGACTAAAATTTTGCTAATATGTAACGAGGAAGTGGTTCAAACTGTTTTGTACTATTTCTAAACGGATAAAACTTACAAATACCGATTTAGAAAATACAAAAAATCATGATTTTCGACCAAAATCTTTTAAGCGAAGTTTTTTTATTGTTTTCCACCTAAGATAACGCTAAATTTCGCTAAAAAAGTCTGAAAACAGTTACTATTATGTTACTGGGATTCTTGGACTTGTAGAAAAAAGGCCCAATTGAATACAGCAAAAGTTTTAAGAAAAAGAACAAGAGCCACCAAACGCACCTTTCTTCTTGAAGACAAATACCAGGTACATGGAGACGGCTTCCCACTCGGGCAGCGACAGTGTCCCCTGAATTCAAGCAGCCAGTGAGAAAATCCACCAAAAACTGACCAATTTGAAGCACTCGAACATCTTCTGGTATGCAGCTGCCTTCTCGTAATCGTCGGGGCCACCGGATGGTTTGTCCTTCGGGTAGAGCTCAAGTGCCCGCATACGGTCCATCATCTGGAGACCTGAAAAATTCATATTTTTCCAGTGGTAAGGAAGCAAAAATTTTCGGGGTTCTAGGCTGTTAGCAGGGGGGAGGACTGATTTTCCCTAGTAATTCCGTACGGCCCTCAAATGAACAATAAACCATTTTTATAGCATTTTACACAGTTTTTTAGGTCTGAAAGGCATCTCAAAAGATCATAAATTTCGAAAATTTTTGACTTTTTTTGTCAAAATGTATCAAAAAGGACCAAACAGATCAAAATTTAAAATTTTTTAAGATATTTTGATGACTTAATAACAATTAAAACTACTCAAAACACTATAAAAACATTATCATCAACAGGTAAAAAATTAGTCCCCCTGCTAACAGCCCACCGCCCTTACCATCCGGCGCATTCTTGTAGTGGTTGATGGCGTCGGGGAACGGCATGTGCATCACCAGCTCCATCTCGAGCTCTTCGAGCATTCTAAAACGCGTAAAATGACGATAAAAACAGGAGGCTTACTGGACGAGCAGCGGGAAATGGCACAGGAACTCCGGGCAGTTCACCTAAAACACAAAATGACGCTCAAATCTCAAAACCATACTTGCTCATCCAGGGTGAAGTGGAATTCAGCGCCAAAGAGCGGCGGCGTCGCGCCGTTCAGAATCTCCTTCGGGTTGGAGTACTTGATCGAGCAGACGCTGTTCTTGAATTCACCGTTGCCCTGTCGTGCTGCCCACCTAAAAACCGTTATTCGAAAGCACAAAAGAGGGTAAATCCAAAAATTAAACCTACACGATCCGATTGGCGTCCGGCAGCGTGCCGATGAAATAGCCACCCGGGCGCAGACGCTCTGTGCAATTGGTCAGGAATCTAAAACAAAAGTTTCCGGCTGTAAAGTGAAAATTACGTCCTGGCTCCCTGCTCGGAGATGAACGAGTAGTGGAGCGCAAATTGGCAGCTGACGAGGTCGAACGGCGTGGGGTCGTCGTATTTCTCGGCCAGCAGCTCCTAAAAAATGAGGTTTTTCCATAAAAAAATCTGGTTCTGTCCTTGCCGAAAAGCCGTTTAATAATGAAATCGAAAAACAAACCCCAGAAACGCGTTTATCATGCAAGTTAAGTCGCGAATAACTTTTAGGAAGAAAAGGGGACATGACGCCGCTGCAGCAAGGCATTTCTGACCCAATTTCGCCAATTTTCTTAGGGTTTTTGTGCCAAAAGTCGGCGTTTTCTAAACGTTTGTAATTTTTACAAGTGTTTTGGTCTTCAAACAGTGTAAGATGCTGTGGAAATGCTTCCAATTAATCAATTGTTTTGCTCCTAAAAGACCATCGCAAAAAAAATCTGTCTTGCTCAATTCTTACAAAACCTTCTTCGCCACCTAACTTTCATGATAAACCCGCTTCTGGCCTTTATTTATCGATTCGGACCATAAAAACAGCCTTTTTCCCAAAAATATACCTTCGTGCAATCGGCGACGATGAACTGCGCCGGAAATTTGCCCTGGCCGCGTGCTCGCTCCTGTCCCTCGTCGTAGCGCCCCTTCGCCTGCTCGATGGACACGTCGGCAACATCTAAAAATAGAAATCATGTCAAAATAGAAAATCGGTTTACCGGCAAAAACGGCGCTGCTGACGAAGGCGTTCTGCCACTTGCGCAAATCTCCTCCCTTCCCGCAGGCGATGTCGAGCACACGTGGGCGAGGCGTTCTTGCGCGCTTCAGCCGTTGCGAGATGTCAGCTGAACCAAAAATTGACGGTTTCTCGCAAAGAACCCACTAATGAGCTGCGCCTTCAACCAGTTGTTCATGTTGCGCATGTAGAAGATGCGGCTGTTCTCGCGGTCCTCGATCTTCTGCTGCGGGACGGCATTGTAGTGAGCGGAGACCTCCTCGGAAGTCATTTGCTGCTGAAAAAAACTTATTGTAAAAACGTCGGTAGGCTTTCAATGTTTCAAGAGAAATTCACGATTATTATGGGTCGTATAGCCGATCGTTATTACAAAAGTGAAGAAGTGAAAATCGAGTTGAAAGATTTGGTACTCCTGCAGGAACGGGCTGGAGGAAGCGGCTTTTTCTTCCTAGGATCTAATTTAGCAAATAGAAATCGAGGAAGCATTTCTAAATGGTTTTCACTATACCTAAACCTCAACACGACAAATTCGCATAAAAAATTACAAAAATCTATCGACTTTACGTCCAAAAATGGCTGTTTTTAGACCAAAAATTCGAATTTTCGGTTAGTTAGTTTTCTAGTGGAAATCTAGCTTGATTTTTCTAAGAACGCTATTAAAACACCTCCTATTAATTTACTAAAGTAATTTCTCGCGTATTCGACGCCGCATACCGATTGTTATCAAAAGATTAGTGCCAATATTAAAACTCGAGCTGTTTAGTCTAAATTTTGGCCGGAAGTGTCGAGAGATACCGTCAAATTCCCCGCTTCTTCTTCCACCACTAGAATCGCACCGAACAACGAGGGGCAAAATAACATTGAAGGCTTCGCGACAATTTCTATTGGCCAGTTACACAGTTTGAATGGACGAACATTTTATTCAAGTAAACACTTAAGATAAATTTTAAGGCATTGAATAGCACACAGGTGCGCCACGTTAATACAACCCCCAATTCTTGCAGGTGCTAATTAAATAGAAGAGATCCCCAGAGACGACCCGAGTACAAAGATTAAATGCATCACAAATCAAAGGTGGAGATGAGGCGGGGGGGGGATAGTGGAGACTGAATTAAGTCTTGGCCTCGCGGGCAAGGAAGTCAATAGCTTCTTCGGTGCGACGGCGGAACGCGGCGTCGTCCTTGACCATGTCGATCAAATCGGAGACGGGCAGGCCGTACAGCAGGAAACCTAGAATTGGCAAATGAGGTACCAGATTGAAACAAAAACTTGAATTGTCTCGGTAAAAAGCCATTTTTTGCCAAAATAACATTGAGAATTCAAGAATTGCGAAAAAACGTCTGTTCCAGTTTTTGACTGTTGTCACCCTCAAATTTCAGCCTTTTCGGTCAATCAAAGCACGGCATTTCAAAATAAAGCTTACCGGTCACTTTGCGTGCCAGCTCCTCGGTCAGCGACATGGAATTGCGAAGCTGGTGATTGATGCGCTCGCCGAGTAGGCCTTGTTTCACCTAAAAACAAGCAGAATGCCCTGATTTACTTTTATCAACATTGTACGAAAAATGTTTTTTTGATGGCGGAATCAACTCCGATGTTCAAAAGGCTGTTTTTCAATGATAAAACGTTTTTCCAAAGGTTATTGTGTTGAAAATTGTCCAGAAATGTGCAAAAACGCTTTTGTGGCCTCAAAACCTTTTCTGAGCTTTAAAATCGCAGTTTCCCCACTTTTTCACCAAATTTTTCCTGTTTTAGTCTCCGCATTTTCCTAGTTTTCGAAGCAAAAGTAATGGAAATCGCAAAAATTATTTTCGTTGCTTTTTGATCAGCGCCAGCCCAATATTTGACATTTTCAAATAGCTTCCGACAAGAAAAACCACATTTCGGACCATAAACCTTTAGAACCAGATTTTCGGAAGGCAGCGAAAAAACGTACATAAGGAAGCGCTATGGCTACACGCCGGCAGAAGGCGTCGAGGGGCTCGGTGGCCGGGTTGTCCGTCTGCTCGACGGGCCTCGTGCACGCCGGGTTCTGCGGCAGAACTTTTGGCGGATGCTCGGAATCGCGGTTGAACCTAGAAAAAAAAGTATTATACTCCGCGAAAACCCAAAAAAACATACCCGCCAACTTGGACGACGGCGCGGTTTTGCGGGTGAGCGTACTGTGGCTGTACGGGCTGGGCGTAGCTGGCGAATCCGACGCTCGGGGCCTGCTGGATCTCGTATACAGGTAGTGGTACATATTGTGGGGTGATGAGGGTGGGGCCAGTCTGGTAGGGCGGCACGACGTTGTTCACGCGCTAAAAATACTTGCTTATGATGAAGAAAAAGCAAATTTTCACGGAAATCTTATATTTTCCGTCGAAAAAACAAACATTTTTCGGCCTAAAATCACCAAAAATTAAAGTTTTTCGTTTCGTAACCAGTTATCAGAAATTTCGTGAAAGCAATAATTTTATCCGAGTTTTAAAAAGGGTTTCTGTCTAAAACATAGCTGAATTTTGATAAAAACAGTATAGAAAAACCTTGTAGTTACTTAATAAGCCATCTACCGTCATAGAAAAACTAGAAATAGTAAAAAACGTACAGCTATCTGGCTTTGCGCAAAGTAGCCGCCGCCGATCTTGGGCATCGCGTTGATCTCGGCGAGGCGCTGCTGGGCCTGCGTGCTCATGTACTTGGAGGCGAGCAGGTTATGGCGGTCGTCTTTGCGCTGGGCCACGGCCACGTAGAGGCGCTTGCCGAAGAAGAGCGTGTTGTTCATCTTGTTGACGGCGCGACAAGCGGATTCCGGCTGTTCGAAGCAGACGAAGCCAAAGCCCTTGGACGAGCCCTTTTCATCAGTCATCACCTGGAAACTGGCAAATAGCGACCCTACCACAAAATTATGGCTTTCCTTCACAATGGAGCAAATTTTGGATGTAAAAAAATTTCACCATATCGGCATTTCTTTCTAAGCTATTTCGGAGATTTTCCGGTCTTTTTTTTTGGCAAAAATGACACCACTAAAAAAGTTATGAATTTAATTCTTAACAACATTTTAAGAAAAAATCCAAAAAAATACCTTTGCCGAGGTTATCGGCCCGCAGTTCATGAAAATCTCGTACAACATCTTGTCGTCGATGCCCTCGCCAATGTTCTTGATGTAGATGTTGGCGCCGGCCTGGCGAGCCGCCTCGTACTGTCGCTTCAGCTCGGCCGTGCGCTCTTGCTTCGTCTGGGCGCGGCAGACGTGGAGCATCAGGCTGGAGCCCGGCAGCGACATCCCATTCCAGGCAGCAATGGCTCGCTTGGCGCTCTCAGGGTCCTTGTAGGCGACGAAGCCGAATCCCTTCGACTTGCCGAATTCGTCGCGCACGAGCTTGCAGCTGATGATCTCGCCGTACTTGCCGAACATCTGCTTGAACTTGGCTTCATCCAGCTCGTTTCCAAAGTTCTTGACAAAGATGTTGGTGAAGGAATTCTCGGCTTCCCTGAGGCGACTTGTGCGGGACAGATATTTCGCTGCGCGGACCTAAAAAAATATAAAATAAAACACTTATAAGGTCCTTACGCATTATCGGGGAGATATTCTTACAAATCTAGAAATGCCTAGTTACTTAATAGGGAGTGTTTTATTAGTGTTTTTGATAGCATTGACCATATTTAAACTAGAAAAACCTTTTGAACAGTCGAAAGTTAGGTAAAAAACGGCCATACGTAAAAATCGATACTTCTCCTCTTTTTAAGAGCGTTACAAAGTTTTTACGTTTCAGAATTGCTTCAACTTTTAGAAATACAAACGTCCGCTGTTAATCCTGAGAAACCAATTTGATTTCCTTCCCTAAGCGATAGCGCAAAAGAATCAATCAAATTTTATCAAACCAAACCTTTCGTCCGGGCGACCCGTCGACGTTTTTGGCGTTGACGTCAGCAATGGCCGCGTCCGCATCCTGCTCCCTCTCGAAATGGATGAATGCGTAGCCCTTGCTGTTGCCGTTATTGTCGACTGCCAACTAAAACGCAAAAGAACTGATGAAGCGAACGAAGATTTCCTTACCTTGCACGAATACACCTTTCCGTACGTCGAGAAAGAGTCGTGGAGGGTTCGCGTGTCGACGTGCTTATCCAGGTTGCTGATGAATATGTTGCCGGTGGTGGATTTCCTCTTGGACGGGTCCCGGTTGACGCGCATTATGCGCATCGGGCGTGCGCGCAGCGGCTCAAAGTTTAGCTGCTGCATGGCCTCCTCAGCTAAAAATGAGCTAAAATAATGTTAAACGAAAAAAAAAGATATTACAGACAAAAAAAGGCGATCATCGGGTACGTTTTTACGCTGTTTAATGAATTCCCCAGATAACACTCAGCATCCTCCGCGCCTAATTCTCTTTCTGAATGGTTTTTAAACGTGAAACTTCTACAAAGTTTTAAAAAATGTCAAAAATAACGTTTTCGACAAAAAAATTCTTTACCGGCTTTCTAAAAGACTCGACAATTCTTCTAGTTGAAATATAGTTATAGATTATTCAAAACTCTATTAAAATACTTACCATTAAGTTACTAGGCATTTCTAGCCGTCTACAACAAAATTCGCTCCCTTGTGCCCGATAATGCGAAGAGCCGCTTTTTTATATTCTTTAAATCTACCTAATAGCAGACAGCACTAACCCCAGAAGGAAAATAATACCGACCAGCGGTGGCGTCCTTGAAATTGATGTAAGCGTAGCCGAGCGACTTCCGGGACACGGCATCACGGCAGACACGCACGGTGACGACCTGGCCGACGGGGCTGAACTTCTCGAAGAGCTCGGACTCGGTGACGTCGGGGTGCAGATCGCCGACGTAGAGCGAGGCATTCGGCGTGGACGCGGGATAGGGGGACGGCAATCTGACCATCTCGGCGCCCCTCAGATCTGCCATCTCGTGCCCTGAAAAAAAGATGTTCATCATTGCTCAGCGGAAGAAACCGAGACGGACAGCGGAAAGGACAGAATGCAGTGGTGGAAAACGAAGGTTAGGGTGCGTTACAAAAATCGTGCATGTAAATTTCGTTCATTTTAGTGACAATCGAGTTTGCACACGGAAGCAAGTCTAGATTGTGCAGAATTTGGCGCTGAACAACCTGGTTAAGAAGTTAGGAAGCTTTTCAAAGCGAAAAAGGCAAGAATTTCTCGAAGTTCGACCATTTTGTGGTTTCTCGCGCTAAAAAGCTTCATAACTTCTTTAACCTAGTCGCTGCGCTTCGAAAGCAGATTCGGGATCGGCGCAAAACTCTCCACGGGATAAGCTTGGTGTCTGAACTCGATCGTCGCTAAAAACGTCTCGTTGTACACGGATTTTTTTTTTGCCAAAACGCGGGTCCGGAAGCGAAAACCCCAAAAGATCATTTCAATGGATTAGATGATCGATTTAAAGGTTAGACCGCCGAATAAAACGTAAAAGCCGTTTTTCGAGGAAAAAATTTAGCAAAAACGAACGTACGACGTGCAAATCTGTTTTACTCAAACTCACCAATCGCCCCGTTCAACCCATTTCCGCAATTTTGCCTCTTTCATTTTCAAGAAAAAGGAATAAGAATTGTAGTAGCGGCAGGGGGGAAACGGCCGGTTCAAATCCACCTGAAAAATCCAAAAGGTTGAGCAAAAATCGGAAATGACATGGGAAATTTCCGGGGGGAATCCGGGGATGAAAACAAAAGTCCGTGATTTGTATTGTCGCGTTGTCATGGGCAATAATATAAAAGATCGACATTTTTTATACAAATAAACAATAACAATAAATCGTAATAAAACAATTAAAATAGACGTTAATAAATATAAAATAGGTGGCATTTCGAATTGTTTGAAAGGGGCGCCAGGGGCTACGCACTTCACTCGGGGGCGAGACATCACCGTCTGGGCAGAGGGACGAGACGGGCCGACGGAATGGCTGTTTGTCCCGGCTTGAGCAAAACATTGCCAACTTCTTACAACAATTTCATCACTTAGAAGCTTACAAAATCCATTAAATTACATTTATAAGGCCGTTAAAAAAAGCTAAAGATCCCTATTTTTCGCATCCCTTTGGGTGAATCGAATTGTCTTATTTTTACTTCAGAAAATGCTATATTTTGAAAAATGATGATTTCTTACACCAATTTCAGCACTTATAAGCTCACAAAATTCGTTATATTAGATTTATAAACTATTTAACCAAATCTAAAGTGCCCTATTTTGTCGTCCTTGTTATAATATGATTTTACCAGGGAAATACATGACTTTTAAAATATGTTCTTTTTCTAAAACTACGTCTATTCGTGTAATATATATGTTTTAGAAGCACGATGGCCGACGAATGGGCAGCGCAAATGTTCGCCAACTTCATGGGCGCCCCCTTCCAAGAGCTCACCAAGGATTTCCAGAAATTTGAAACGTGCGTTTTTCGGTTCTAATTTATTACCGGGGGTTGGGGATCCAATTTTCCCCTAATAGTTAGTCTTTGCAGTAAAATTTAGCCTCCATTCAGAAAGCCTTAAAATGCATTTTTTTAGTGAAAAAGCTCAATTTTATTATTTTTTACTAAAATTTTGTGATGTTTTACCGCCTAGAAAAGTAAGAAACAATGTAAAAAGACTTCCTATAGCTATATTAGCAAAAAAAATATGATTTTCAGGCTGTTCCTGAGGCCCTACTTTCGACAACTCCCCTTCGATGCCCAGCTGACGATGGGCCAGGGCTGCGGCGAGGTCGAGAACACGTCCGACGCGTTCAAGATGAAAATCGACGTCTCGCAGTTCATGCCGCAGGATTTGGAGGTAATTTTACCTTTCGAATCCTCTGATATAGCTCATGTCTAGGTAAAACTGCACGGCTCGCAAGTGATCGTCGCCGGCACGCAGGAGGAGAAGCCCGATCAATACGGGACAATTCAGAGGTGCGTTTTTGGGCTTGATTTGCAGAACAATAGTTTTTAGATCGTTTGTCCGAAAAATCGACCTGCCCTCCGGTGTGCATATTGATGGGCTACGGACGTATATTGATGGCGATGGCGTGTTGTCGGTGAGTTTTTGGTGCATAAACTGTTAGAGTAGTTAATAAAAACTTGAAAACTTCTAAAAAATTAAAAAAAGGTGACCGTTTCTAACTCTACCTTTTCCAGCTCGAAGTGCCGAAACGAGCCCAACTCCCACCCGGCGACGGCCGCAAGATCCCGATCGAGCTGACGCGAGACTGAACAAAAAACTAAGGAATAGTCAGATTTTTGCGTAGATCTTTCTATTAATAAACTTTTTTTGGTTTACACGTTCTCGAGAGTAAGGGGCATCACACATCTTCAGTTTAGCGCCGCGCGAAATGGCCAAAGTTCCGCTAATTGACTGGGAATTAGGGAAGAAGCGCCTTCTTCAAAGCCACAAAATCACAACAGCTTGCGGCACGAAAAGCCGGGGTCTTGGGTTAGAACACGCGCTAGCGCTCATTCACGCGCCCGTCTTTTTGAGTTGGACCTTGGCTTGTCGAAATGTGTCTTCGTGATGGTCGTCTAACCGTACCGACCGCGTTGCTGATCATTGCCACTGGGGGCTGTTTCCTGGCCGCTGGGCTGCTGACCTATGCCGTGTTTTCGGTGAGTTTTTGAGGCTTTTCGCCAGATATTAACTTCGGGTTCTGGATCGTTATCGGGGGGAAAACCTATTATTATGATTGTATTTATTTCGTCCATTGTTTTTATAACTTTCTAGCACAGAAAAACTACTAAAACCACTAAAAATATTATAAAAAGGCAAGATTTATGATTACCAGTCGGAAAAATCAATATAAAAGTATATTGAAGTGATCCCAGCTGTTTCTAAACGTTTATGAATCTATCTGGCAACGTTTTTAGACTGACAAAAAGCTGAATAGCTAAAATCCTGACATAGTTTTCGACCTATTAGTTTTAGGCAAATTTTCCAAAAATCCGTGAAAAAGCAACAAAAAGCCTCGAAAATTTACCTTTAGGCGATTTTTAAATTACTTTTTTTGCCTAGCTACGCCCCCTGCCCCCCGATAACGATCCAGTACCTATCACTCGCGTTTCCAGGCGTCATTCCGGATTCTTGACGACGGCCGGCATCTGCACTCTTTTGGCCTGATTCGATATTGTAAAGGTGGGCGCGGAGATAGTTTTATCTAAAAAAAGTATTCTAATGATCTAAAATCTTTAGTCTCGCAACTTACGGAGACCGCCGTGCAATGCTATTCACGGGAAATGCAAAAGCCTGGCATCGAGCCGGCGGCAAAGCATCTGATTATAGCTCGTAAGCTAACCAGCTTCAATCTTCTTCACCTTTCCTTTAGAAAGCGAGCTGATGGTCTTGGTAGCATTAGTGTTGGCGTTGCACATGGGACTCCTGGCTTCTGTGGCGAGTCTACTCGCTTTTTGTTCAAAGATGTGCGCGCGGTTGAGCCGGATCTTGATGTTGATGGCAGGTGGGGGTGTTGTGCATAGCAGGGCGTACTAGCAGAGGTCATTTGCGGAACACTGGGTTAATGGTCGAGACGAACCTTTAGGAGCCTGCACGTTCCTGGGTGCAATGTTGTTCGTCCACGTTGCGACGTCGTTGAACGAGGCGAATTTCGGCGGAAAATCGTCGAAAGTAGAGGTGCGAATTATGGAGTTCTGCTGACATCGTCTTTTCTTCATTCAGGCCCGTTTTGGACCGGCTTTTGCGTGGTGTCTCCTCGCTGGTTCCGCCTTTCTGCTGTCGCTTCTGATCTCCTTGGTGTCGACGCTGGCTGATGACGAGGTAACGCAAAAATTGGACCTTTCTAAAAAATACGAAAACGTGGTCGAAAACCAAGATTCTTTTAGACAGATCTGCTACAAATCCCGCTATCGCGCGCCGGCACGATCAGCGAGTTCCCGCGCAAGATCTCGCGCCGGATGAACGCCATCCGGCGCCCCTCGCAAGCCCACGTGGAGCATCACCGCCCGGAGGAGACCACGCTGCTTCCACAGGACGTTTAAGCGCCCGAAGCGCTCTCGCGCTGGCCATGAAGCGAATTTTAAAATTGCCCTTTTTGGATAAGAAAACCTGGTTAGCGCGAAGCGCACCTCCGTGGACCTGGCTATCACGTTATCACTTACTTCTTTTAAAACACTAATAAAAGATCATCTGATCGTTACAAAATGCCGGCCAGCGCGGAGCGCACTCGCGCAATATTGGTTATAAAGGTACCATCTTCTTCAAATAATTCGCGACAAACTCATTTTTACTTTATAAAAACGCGGCGAGCGCGCAGCGCTCTTGAAGCCGGGCTGGAGATGAGGGACCAGTTCGGCTTGTTCAAGCCGTTCGTATCAAATTTCCTTTTTCTGATAAAAAAGAATAGCCAGCGCGAAGCGCACGTGCGCGGGCCCAGTTTTTTTTGTAATTCTTGTCTTTTAAAGGTATCATTTGCGATCAATTCATTTTTCCGCTAAACCAAACGTGCCCAGCGAAGCGCTTGGCGCGAAACTGGCGATACCAGGTTGTCCTTTCAAATAATTTGTAGCGATTTTTTTTGTACGTATAAAAATCCGGCCAGCGCGAAGCGCTTTTGCGCGGAGTTGTCTATTTTCTTTAGCTTCTCTTTTAAATCGATCTATTGCAACAAATTTAATGTTTTTCTGATGCTTTTTTCCGTACTACATAAATCGTGAATTCCCAAATATTTATCGACCAGTTTTGGGGCACCATATTCCAAACCACAACTATTCACAGCTCCAAAAAAACACACACGCACAAACTCGCGCTCAAAAATTCAACAAGCAGCACGCAAAAACAGCATAAACCCAGAAAAAGCATTTTGTACACGCATTGCCGGAAGTAGGGGAGGAGGAGGCTGTTGACCGGTATCAAAATGAAATTCCACCAAAAATGCACACTGCAGAAAACGTTATAAGTACCGAAATGTACAGAGCACACGCGCGTACGCGTCGAAAGCGAAGGCCAGGATATCCCGAAAAAATGACAATTGGCTAGGGTGACCCGATTCGCAGACAAATTCCTAATAAGTTTGGCCATTTTTGAGGTTTAAAGGACTATAATTAAAAGTTGAAAACAAATAAAAGGAACAATAAACATGTAAGGCAGAAATATTGTGGTTCTTGTTCGTGGCACCCGGTTTTTCAAGTATAACAACTCAAAATTCTTAGTTTCCTCAAAAGTCCGGATGGCCACCAAATAAACCCGACAAAGTGACCCTAGGTTTTGCCGGCTAAAAACTGGTTACGCCCTGTAAATGGCGTTTAAAGGAAAGTAGCGTTTAGGTGGCGTAACCGGTTTTTAAAGGGCTAGTGAAGTGGGATTGGCCTGATAAAATCACCCTAATTGGGCCATTAAACCGGTTATGCCCTGTAAATCGCGTTCATAGGAAAATAGCGTTTAGTTAGGTTAGCTTTTTAAAGTCTTATTGAAGTGGGATTGGCCTGATAAAATGGCCCTAGTTGCGTTGTAAATCGGTTACGCAATAAAGCCACATAAAATTCAATGTTTAGGGGGCGTAACCGGTTTTTAAAGGGCTAGTGAAGTGGGATCGGCCTGATAAAATTGCCTTGGTTTCCCTGTAAACCGGTTACGCCCTTTAAATCGCGTTAAAACGAAAGTAGCGTTTTGGTGGCGTAACCGATTTTTAAAGGGCCGTTGAAGTGGGATCGGCTGATCATGGAAAGGCAATTAAAAATATAAAAACGAAAATAAAAACATAGAAAAGATCCTAAAACACGGGGATCTCCGCTGCTTCGGCAATTTCCACGAGCGGCTCGAGAACCGGGGTGAATTTCGCCGATTTTCCGGAATTCCGCCGGCTTCTGCCCTCGTCGGTTGCGCGCTCTTCGTCGGTGGGACTCTAAAATTTTAGGGTTAACTGGTTTTCCGCAATGATCACTGCTGGTTTGCCATGATTTTCTGAACACCTACCGCCGGTCGGGCTTCGATGACATCGGTGAGGTAGACGTCGGGGAGCAGCTGCTCGGGGTGGTGCTCCTCGCGGACGAGGCGCACCGAGCCCGGGGTTTCTTTGATGTTCTAAAGCGTCGTGGATTTAGTGAGCAATAATTTTAATTTGATTTTTTTACAAAATTAATTAATTTTTTCCAATTTTTTTTAATCAAATTTATAAATATTTTATACAAAAAATTATTAATTTATACTCCTTTAATATGATATTATAGTAAATTAAAACAGTATTTTCATCTTCTTTAGCTTACCTGCTCAAAAGCGATCAACTGGCGCCAGAATCCAAGATTCGGCCGAACCAGCGGGCGCTTCATTTTCATCAAGTGGTAAGCGTCACGTAGCGAACGGCAATGATATCTAAAATTTTAATTTAGAGGTTAAATTACGGGTATTTGAGCTCGATCTAGAAAATTGGAAGTTCATGCTCACTTCGTAAGGTAGGCCAGGACGATGGAGGCCGAGCGGGATACCCCGGCTACGCAATGCACCAAAACACGGCCGCCGTCCTCGATGATGGCGCGGATCTGGAAGGGCGTGACGGGTTATATTTCTAAATCTATTTTCTTTTTACTAATATTAACGCGATCTTGAAATTTGGTCCCCGAATTGTCAATTTTCTATTATTTTCTTCGCTCTCCTCCTCTTGGGCAAATTTTTAGGTCATTTTTCGGGCGCCCCGTCCCCAGCCATAAACACCCGGAAGGTTATCTCGCCTCCCCCCGAAAAGCGTAGAGATCAAGAAGGGGCAGAGAAGCGGGAAAAGGCACTCAAAAAAACGATCCACCGGCGGCCATGTGACCGTGTGATAAATGGGGGGCAATGGGTGTCTGATAGGGGGCAGGCACGTTGTGTCGCTCGTGGAGCGATCAGCGTGCCGTTCTTTGGAGCCCAGCGGAACTGCCCACGGTCAAAACAAAATGTATCAAAAGGGGGGCGATCTAAGCTGATTTTGCAGCTTATTACAAACTACACACCATTTTTATAGTACTTTACACAGTTTTTTTAGATATAAAAACATTATTAAAAGTCTAAAAAAATTCCGAAAATGCGTTTCTGACTATTTGGTCCGCGCACGCAACGCCGGGCTCATAATTGCGTTGCGTAATTATATGCGACCGTAATTTTTATCTGTTTGAAACGACCAAGTCACGCGCGAGTTGCGTGTCGCGGCGCGGAAAAATAAAGCCAAAAAAGGTCAAAAATATCGATTTTCCTATTCGTTTTCCTTAAAAAAGTTTTACACGTGTGGGGGCGAACAATTGAGAAACCCAATATTGTAAAATCTATTGCCATTAATCAACGTTTAATCTGTTTCCCCCCCCTACAGCGGCGCGCGTTGGTTTCCCGCGGAGGCAGGAATAGGTCTAAAAATAAAAATTAGGTCCCCCGTTAACAGGGAAGCACCCTCCTTGCTCGCCCCTTCAAAATCTTTTCGAAAAGCTGTCCCCTAGGTCCCGTCCGTTTTTCCCCTTAGGGCCCAGCCCGGCCGTTGCACTTTCCTAGAATCTATTCTGCTCGATGTTTTTCTGGGCGCACTCCCTTTCTCCGGATGATGGGCCCACCCGAACCGCTTCTGCCCCCCTCCCCCCTGAAAAGGGAAAAGAGCGGAGGGATCTCTGTTTGTGCCCTCCGGGGGTCTATGTGGGCCCGAATGTAATGCCATCTCCGTGACTCTGCTTCTCTGGGCCCTCCTTTTCCGGGCCGCACCCTAGCCTTGGGGCCCAGGCCCCGGGCACGTGAAGCTTTCGTGAGCCGGGGAGGATGGCTTTAGGGAGTCAGATGAGATGCGGGCACGCCAAACGCGGCGAAAGGGCTCAAGAATCGAAAAATGACCTTAGATAGGGGGATACGGTAGTAGGGCAATTTTTGGAAAATAAAGGATAATTATCCTATAACGGGGCTGAAAACAAACAGCGGTAATTAAATCTAAATTTAAAATGCTAAGAGGCACTATACGGAATTTATTCCATACGTCCCCCCACTATGATTATACGTCAATTGAGCCACAGAAATTTCAAAATGTAAACAATATCAAGGTGTAAATTTTGTATTAATTTTTCCACAAATTCGCTTTGGCCCTTATAAACAAACCTGATCGCTCTGGAGCTCGAGGTGAGGGTAGATGTACGTCTGCGGGGTGTCTTCAATCCACAGCTTTGTTCGCTGGATGTCGCCGAGGCTTCGCAGGCTTGGTACCTAAATTTTTGGTTGCAGAGGGAATTCTCAAGGAATTTCTGCAAGTTTGCCTCTTTCCGCGCGTTCCTAGGCTTTTTCTGAGAACCAGCAGCTAATTCTCAAGGAATCTCTGCAAGTTTGCCTCTTACCCCCGACGCCCTAGACTTTTTCCTGAGCACGAGCAGCTAATTCTCGAAAAATCCCTGCAAGTTTGCCTCTTTCCCCGACGCCCTAGACCTTTTCTGAGCATGAGCAGCTAATTCCCAAGGAATCTCTGCTAGTTTGCCCCCTCTAGAGTCCCTCCTCACCTCTGTGGTCGCATTAATGATATGCGTGACTTTGTGCCGTTTCATCGTCTCGGCGTCGAGCGCCGACACGCCGCAGATCATGAGTCCGGGCACGATTTCGGACAGTTGTGCGTATTCCGGGTTTACGTGGAATGATACAGGCATTTTCTGGAAGTGGTATCTCATTAAACGGACATGTAAGGTGCGGAGAGAGAGAGAGAGAGAGAGAGAAAACGATGAAAAATATCGATTACGAGCCGTCACTGCCCCTTTAAAGCTCCATTCCCCGAATCAGGCCACACGGATTTCGTGGTGTGTTTCAAGTGTTGACCCGGTGGGCGTGGGGGGGGGAGCTACCTGCGCATGTCGGGAGTTCCCTGACTTTCCAAAGACGTTTAGGGCGAAAAAGGGGGGGGAGGGGGGAGAGAGAGAGAGAGCGAGAGAGAGAGAGAGGGGGGGGGAGGGGGGGAGAGAGAGAGCGAGAGAGAGAGAGAGAGAGAAAACCCCAGAGATTTCTACAGACTCATTGTCGCCACAACGATCTATTTGTAGAGGAGGAAGCCGGCGGCGCGCTTCGCGGCGCGAGATCAGCGAACACCCAGGCAGGCCTGGCGCGCAAATAAACTCTACGGATTACGTCTGAAGGAAGCGAGGCCAGAAATCATCAAAAAGGTATAATTAGAAAAGGAACGCGAAATCTCGACAATTTCGAGGAATATAAACGATTTTCCATCCTTGTTTTCATGTTTTTGACGTTTCTAACGGATTCCGTGGCGATAGAAAAGGGGTGAAAAACAAGCATTTCGCGAGGTTTTGAAGTCTTTCAAAACGAGCGAGAGAGAGAGAGAGAGAGAAATCGAAAAATCTTCGTGTACCGCCCAGGAAGCGGAAATCGTGAGTGCCGGCCAGGATCAGATAGATATTTCTCTCTGATGCAATTTGACAGCTGATTGGGGGAGAACGGACGGAAACGGAGTCTTCAAAAGATCGTCCACAGCGTTCAACGGGAGTTTTAGCAGTTTTTAAGTGGAGCCAGCAAGCCTAAAAAAACCGGAAATCACCAAGTAAAGTCCCAGAAAAGGTATACGGCCTTAAAAATCCAAATGACCCGAAAAAAAACAGTAGTTTTTGAGCGCTTAAGCCGGCCTACGGTAACTTTAAGGCCAGACAAAAATAAAAAATATTATGAAAGAAACCCTGGAATTTTTTTGAAAGGTATCGTTGAAAGCCGAAGCAACATTAAATACACAGTTTTAAGCGCTAAAAACGTACAAAGCTTCTGACAAAAATGCAAATATCCTACTATATATATAAAAAAAAATGTTTTGCATCCACTTCCGTCTGTCTGTCCGGAGGATATCTTGGCAGAGGATGGATTTTAAAGTACGTATGATACGTCATTAGGTGCGTAATGGTCTTGGGATGACTGCACACCTAACAAATTTTACAAAATTATAGATTTTCGACATTAAATTTAAATTTTTGTGATGGCTTCTTTGTTAAAAACAATTAGCATAGACCGGAAGTGGGGAAGCGACTATATAAAGCGGCAGAAGAAGTGGTTTTTGATTTTTTGCCATCTGAATTCAGGACAAGTATGCAAATTGAAGCATAAAATGGGGTCAGAAGGGGGCCAGGGTTGAAAAGTCGCGAAGCGGCTTTTCAACTCTGGTTTGATGTTTAAAATATGTAATGAACCGTAAAATAACGACCCGAAGTTACAAAATCAAATAAAAAATTCTGAGCCCTAAAAAAAGCAAAAATCTGGAGATCTCGCTGGGCTAAAACGCAGAAAAAAAGTTCTGAAAGCTTGGCAGGACACTAACAAAATGCAAAAAAAAGAATTCAAAACCTTAGAAAAAGCCAATTCCAGTCTCAAAAAACTTCTAAACACCCAAAAATCCAAAGATCTCGATGAGCTCTAGCCCCCAGTGGAGCTCCAGAATCGAATCGGCACCTCCCCAACGGCCCAAAAGTCGTTTTTTAAGGCCCCCGGCCCCTAGCAGGGGAGGGGTGGGGCCCAGAGGCGGGGTCCCGGCCAGAATGGGGGCTGGAAGCGGGGAATGGAACGGAAAAAAGGGGGGCAGAGCGGAAAAGGGGAGGGGCCATACACACAGCCACACGAAAACACGTGCCCCGGCCTATAGAGAACACGTGAACACCACCAAGCCCTACCCGGTTCTGGTCAAAAAGGATTTTCTCTAGTCTCCTCCTCCTCTTTCTTTTCTTTCTTTCGGCCCAGGGTTAAGCCGTGAAACGACGAGACGGGAGACGGTTACCACCTGTCAACAAACCGGAAAAAACGGGAATGGAAACACGAAAAGTTCAAGAGGTCAGGTACGCCCCGAGGGTTATGGGCTTTAAAACTCGCAGAAAAATTCTAGGGGTTCGCGAGATAAGGGTTTTATGGGATCCGGACGTTGGAAATGGTGTGGTGGTACTATTCTAGGTACTGGACTATTAGCAGGGGGGGGGTTTATCAGAGGAAACAGTAATTTTTCCCAGTAATTCACAATAAAATAAAGGATTTTTATAACAATTTACACCGATTTCAGACATGAAAACCTCATAAAAAACTGGTTTAAAGGGACGAGCAAGGCAATACTATAGTTTTTGCGCTACGGATTCACGATCATTTTTGACGAGCCAGCCCGCGGTCGCCACGCATTGCAATCAGCACGCGTAAAAGTAGCCAAAATCCATCTGAAAACGCTAAAAACTGCCAAAAATACAGTATCCCCAGTCCACAGTCGGTTTTCAAAAGGTCCTAGAAAATCGGCGATACCTACAGATAAACAGGAAACCTAAAAGTCAGAAAATGTCGAGACCTAAAGCGAAAATGCCACTCCTATTAAAAACGCAAGTATCAAGAATTCCATTAGGCTCCTCTAGACACTGCCGTCCATAGTCCATTCCGTTCAGTCCACTTCACCGAGATGGGCCCAGGTCCAAAGTGTCGTACCGGATATTTTGTCTCCAAATCCCGCGGCGAGACCTCTGGACCGGGAAGCGAAAAAAATGAGTGGCTAAAAGGCACACGGGACACATATTTTGAAGGAATCGTGACCGGGAATTCCGAGCGGGCTATTCTTTGCCCCCTATTAGCTTTGACAGGGGTTATATGGGCCGTCTGGGCGTCGGGGTGTTGGCACGCTGCCTTAGATCGTTTTTTAAAATAATACGACTACGCTGTAGTACGCTACTACGTTGTAGTGACTTGGCAAAAATGCTAATGCTAAAATGAAACGGTACGCGTGTCGCAGAAGCGGAGAATACAGCTAACTTGCGTCCTTTAAAGCTGACGTTTAGAAGTACGCTGACACCTACAGGGTGTGCAAAAAAAAAAGGCCACAGTTTGGGTCGAAATAACTCGCGAACGGTAGAGAATCGAAGGTACGTTACCATGCCAGAATGCTTAAATATGCTGGGCATGAAGATTTAACACAACTTGATTTTTTCGATTTTGAGTACGAAACTGTACATTGACGCTGGTTACGACCGAAAATGTGCGTTCTTGAACGGGTGGTAGCAAAATTCTGATTTTTGGCCTAAAAATAGTATAAATTTGTAGAAATGTAATGGCAAAATCTTAGAATTTATCGAGGTCAATTTCATTTTTTAAAAGCAAAACAATTTTCGCGATTTTGCGTTATTTTTGTTCTTTGAGTTATAACTCGCTTATAACTCGCTGCCTATGGCTGATATTTTGTCAATGACCTATCCAAATATTAATCTCGGATTCCACACCAAATTCCACCACAATCTATGGCATTTTGTATTGCTCGCTAAAACGTGCCCCAGCGGGGTGCTGTAGGTTTCGTTTTTCCCGCTTTTCTCGAGGCCCCTAGCTTTGATTCGGCTAAAATTTTCTGGGTTGTTATGCAATAAGTAGGAGCACCTTACTGCCAAATACGAGAGCATACTATCCACAAACTTTCAAGAAAAAGACTAAAAACAGATTTTTTAATTCTGCGGCAGAATTTTGTAAATTTTTTGGTCAATTGGTCCAAAAACTGCTACTATTGGTTTTACGAAAAGATCGAAGCGATTTCATGGCAAAAACACCACGAAAATCGCAAATTTCGGTTTTCTACAGTAACCCACGTGGACGCGTTTAGCATGCCATCAAAAATTCCATAAAGTGACGATTTTTCTATTCGAGGGCCTTCTAGAGGTGATTGTAAGATAGCCTGTCAAAAATGACTGATTTTGGATGGTAAATAACAAAGTTACGAGGCATAGTGCAAAACAAGGCCAGAGAGCCGATTTTGGGTCCGAGTAGCCGGCGTCAATTTTCGAATTTTTAAAAATAAAAAAACCCACCTGGATTTTATGGCTACGAGTAAAGATTTGATGTTTTTATTTACGCTCGTCGAATTCCGGAGCAATCTGTTTCAAAATTATGGTGACTTTCAGCCAAAAATGAAAAATCACCCTGTTCTAAAACCGAAGTTTAAAATTCTTCTTAAAATTTTTTCGACGCTAAATTGTTTTAATCTTTGCATAGTCTGATTTAACTAATACCACAGATTTATTGTTGAAAAGATCCTGGCGACCTCACCTTCCAAAAATTTTTTACGCCCACTCAGATTCGGTTTATGTCGGTTTTTGATGAATTTTCTTGGCGCCAACGGCTGGTCAAATAAATTCAAGAACGTGGCTTTAGGATGCGCTACTCAAATGGTATCAGATAAAATTCAAATAACAATTTTCACAGCGCGACTAAATTTTATAAAATGGTGACAATATTCGGAAAAAAGCACGAACGAACCGTTTTGGAGGCCCTAAAAGACGCCCTTCCAAAGGGGTACGGTAGCTCGAAATTTTTTAGATGATAGATAAACCCCAGTACTACATAGCTAAGCAAAGAAAACAGCTGAGTCCCCTTTGGCAATTTAGAAATATTTTTCCAAAGTTCGATTTCGTGACCTCGAAAAATCCACGACCAGGGGGTCGTTGAAAAACTCGAAAATTCATCGATCTCAAAAATTTTTAAGATTTTTATGCGTGTAACGGGCTCGTAGATATTCCACAACAACTGATTTTGAGGTTTTCGCCATAGGTTTTTTTAATATTAAAAATTTACGAAATTTCTCCATACAAAATTTCATTCCTCTCTAACTTTTCAACCAGACCCTCAAAAATTCTTAAATTTTGTAGGTACA